GGCGATGGCGTTTCTTTTTTTTTTTTTTTGAATTGGGTTTCTTTGCATTACTCAACTGCTGATGGTTCATCAGCGACGATTTGCGCTCTCTTTTTTTAATGCGAGTGTTTCTGTTTTCCCAACCGGTAGTTGTGATTTTCCCCCCGATGGAAGTAATAATAAGCCGGATAAAAATGGGAGTAATAAAAAGCCGGATAATGAATAGCTTGAATACTTTTGTCCATTCTGTATCTGTTATGTAGAATCTAAGGGAAAACCTAGTTCATCATGGTTCTTTTTTTTTAGAGAAGTTCATCATGGTTCTTGATTTCACATTTTATACTTTCCTGTAAATTTTCAGGGTATAGTCCAATCTCGTCCTTTGCTCACGGGTGATGAGAGTATCAACTCTGGGCCGCTTAAGCTCTTGGCTAGCAAGAGAACATATCTCCCATCCCCAAATGTGCTCAATAATGCGGCAGCCTCAGAAGGGCAATTCTCTCACCAGATGACAACGGAATGCCAGGTAAGAATATTGCATCTTCTCAGTCATTTTAATAAGCTCTGTAACTAGCACTCTACTACTACTCTTGTAATTATCAAACTAAAAACAGCTTGTCGCCTTAAGACATTCCCAGTCAGCTTCTTACTACGCTCCTTTCTGTGATTCTATCATTTGTTTGTCATCTAAAAACATTAGCTTCTGAGTCCATTCCTTTCTATCATTAAATTAAGTCAACCTATCCCTCTACGATGATTGAGGTGCCCAACAATGGAGCCGGAGCTAAGGAAAAGGACGAAGGAGCCAGCATTGGCATACACAGAAATAGAGATGGATTACTGGAACTGGCCTCTCAGGAGCCATCCAAGATCAAGGTATGCTTGGTCTGACCATTCTGAGCTGCAACATATAGGAAGTTAGGTTTTATGTTAGCCTTGTTCCACCACGGAGTTATTTTCTATTTTCTTGTGGCCATTCAATATAAAGGTCACTACATTCTCAAACAACATATTCAAGATTGTTGTAAAGTATTCCAGTGAGCTTATTCGGTGTCTTGTCTTAAAGTATTTCCAATGAGCTTATTCGGACATTCGGTGTCACTGTCTTAACAATCTTTCCAAAACATAAAATAGTTGACCCAAGCTATGGTGCTGGGTAAAAAAAAATATCTGCATTCCTTGTTTTTTGATTATCTTGCAATGAGTGTGACCAAAATAAAAACAAAGAAGAATGATGGTACTTAGGGTGCCAATTGAATTTTGATAGCGAGTATCTTTCCTGTGTTATTAAATTTACATGTGATTTGCACAATTGGAGATAAAATTCTGATGCGACTACTTGTTATTTCTTGATTTGATGCTTACAACGTGTAAAGCCGTTATTGCACAACTTTTTATAATTACTGATGTATACTTGTAAAATTACTTGTGCAAATAGACATTTGATAGCTCTACAGCCTGACAAATTGGGGGGGGGAAATATTTTGGGCTTTAACTGGGTGTTTTGGTTGTAAATGGTTAATTTATAACACCTATGTTCAGTGTATTTGTGATTAGACCTTTTTTAACAACAAACTTTTTCAGGAGCAAAAAATTGAGTGTGATTACCAACGCTGGAATGAAGATACAGAGGAAAATGATCAAGCAGTCTCGCTTAAGCTATTGGCTAGCAACAAGATATACCCCCATCGTCCTGTCCTGTTGAAGACACTACAATGCAAGGTAAGAACAGTGTGACTGCCCAATCATTTTAAGTTTAAAAATGTGCATGTGCTCCACAATAAACAAAATGAATATAATATTGGTTTTGTAGAGTTTAACAGAAGTTGTCAAACGCAAATCTTACAGAAAGACAGGAAGCAGCAGTAGCCAACAAAATGATCTTGCATCACACAGTGCAGATAATTCAATAAAGTGCTGCTGTCACACTCATCCAATGAGCAGGCTAGATCAGTTTCTTTTGAAGAGAGAGCTTACAAAGACCATAGAACTGCCAGGGACATCGAGGTCTTGTAGAGTCACAACTTCTGCACGGCTGGAAATCAGGCTCATACTCAGGAGAAGTATAAGACTTATATACAAATTACATAGAGAAGGATATTGCCTCGAGGGGTCCTTTGGTTTGCGAAGCTTCTGGGTAGATGACAACTTATTTGTCACTCTTGAGTACAAAGAAGAAGATCGGAAGAACTACAGCAAGCAAGGTGCTCGTAAAGATTTACAGAGTTTTGTGAAAATGGTACAGTCAGAAATCTTTGGATCTCAAGATATGCCAAGTGAGATCATGCGATGGCTTTCATTGATACAAAAAGGTGGTACTGACTATGAGTACCTAATTTCTTATGACTGTGCTTTGATGGAGCATAATCAGATATTGTCAACTTTCATGCAATTGTATTCAAAGCTTCAAACCATGAAGAAATCCGACTATATTGGATACAAGTTTGTCCTAGATGAGTTGAAACACTTCAATGGTTGGTCTGGACGTGATCTACATAACCAGTACTTCACTGAGACATACCTTGGGAGAGATAAAAAAAAAAGGAAGTGGAGAGACCGAGGAAGATGGAAGAGAAGCTATGGAACTGATGTAATGTCACTGTTGAGGCTGATCAGAAATACGTTTCAACATATCACATTGAAAAGATTCGACAAAAGTGGAAATATCATTTTTGATGAAGAAAACTACGAGTACATTTTGGACGACCAGTTTCCTAGGATTCTTCCCGAATTTATGGAAGCCATGTACATTGCAGCATACTTAGCAGATCTAAACTTAGAGCATGTTATGGTTTGATAATGCAGAGTCAATACTATATTTGACTTGTTTCTTGCTAAATTTTGCTAATGAAATATTTCCTATATCAGTTCCATCCATGCTACCCGTGATTCACATTTATTTCAGTGTAATACCAAGGATCTGAATAACTTAACATCTTTACTTCTAAATAAATCACAAGGCTTCAGAGCTTCAGGTTTGTTCATTTTTCTTACTAAAATATTTGAAACTGGATAATAGGTCAGAGAACAATGTAAAACCACATAAACAAATGCAGTGAGTGAAAACAGGGAATGATGTGCATGTCTGCACAATCAGTTCTGCTGCCTATTAGTCCTCTTCAGCACCGGATCAATTGATCTTGGGGCCATAGATCTTTACTTAATGTCAAGTTAACCGGCTTTGTTAATTCTATGGCCTAAAATACAAGATGCTAGCTGTTGAAAAAGTTTTCTAACAAAACCAGTGTTTCTGTGATTATCACTTTTTTGTTTGTTCTTTCTTTCTGTAAGTTCCAGTTCTCTGGTTAGAGAGAAAATTGAAGTTAAAAATTAATTATTCTATGGTTATCCGCATTGTGCACAGATACATTGTAAAGCATGTTGAGATAGCAAGGGCTTCTTTTGATTTTATCTCTTTCCTGGATGCACAAATTACATAAACAGGCAGAACTATATCTCCCAAAATGTTCAGGTGGTGAAGCAGCAGGAGCATAGTTGGCAGCATCATTTTATTTTATTTTTGTGCCTGATAAAGAGGGGTGATATTTACCTGTTACTACTAGTTTGTGTGGTATGCCAGATGTTTACCCTGATTTAATTGTTGGTTACCTGTCGTTGTCACTGGGTTTCTTCCAACTTAACTCATGTTGTTGTTGAGACTTGCATGCAAAAGAAACTGCTTGATAACATAGTTAGCCTTTTCTCTTGATAGTAAAATACAGACCCAGTGCCGGCGGCTCCCACATGAGTGGGGTCTGGGGAAGGGAAAAACCGAGGCAAGCCTTTCCCCGCAAATCTACGGAGAGGCTGCTTCGAACCCACGACCTGGTGACTCAGCGAGAAAGCTCTCACCACTGCACCAGGCCTTGACTAACAATTAGCCTAATTATATCAAAAGTTTGTATTATAAAAGTAGTTACATTAGATTTGTATTTAGAAATACTTTCTAATGATTAAACTTTTGTTCCTATAAATTGTATACTATAAGAGAAATTATAGGTCAAAATATGTTCCTGAAGACCACACCAAGTCAAACCACGTCTTATATTCAGGGACGGAGGGAGTATCACATCACCTTTACAAAACCAGAAAACCTTCAATAACCTTGCTGTTCTTATAGGAGACTGTCAAGGAAATAAAAAAAAATCACTCATCTGTCTTTGTTCTGAATCATGTGTCTTTTACCTTCAGAACATAATTTCAACAATTGGTATTAAGAGCCTTCTTAGTTCTAACATGATCCTAACCCAGAGCAACTGAAGTTCAAACCTTTGTTAATGTCAATTTAGATCAGTACTACATGATTCCGTTAAGGCTGCATAAGGTTAGATCAACTAAAGCATGATTAGTCAGCAGTTAGCTCAATATTAGATCTGTTTTTATGATTAAGGGCGTGTTAGCCTATGGTTAGATAGATACTAGCGATTTTTACTTCAAATTCATGCTGCTGATGACCATAAGCACTGATAAATACCAGTTAGATTAAGAAAAATTGTTTGATGCATGGTTAGCCTAAGACAGATTGTTTTCTGCACATGCCTAAGGGCTAAGGGCCTATTTGGATCCACCTAGCTAAAGGCTTGTTTGATACACCCGTATCCACCTCAATCCACGTGTGTTTGAGTAAATTGGGATAGAACTTAATTTAGTTTCCATCCCAATCCGTTCTAACACACGTGGATTGAGATGAATACGAGTGCATCCAAACAAGGCCTAATAGTTAGCTGCTAAAATTAGCTGGGATGGATCCAAATTCCATACATGTTTAGCTAATAGAGCAGCTAATTATTAGTTAGATACCCAGCTAATTGTTTTTTACTAGCTGCTCCAACCTAGCTAGCAGCAGAGTTACGTGAAACTTCCCACCTTATCCACTCCCACATAAACCAAGGTGTTGCAAGCAGCCACACGTTGGCCCTGCTGCCGTAGATGCCGACTAGTTGCACCACGAGCTCCTCCATCTCGGCAGCGGCAGCCTTAGGAGGCGCCTCAGCATGGGAGCTCATCCACCGCTGCCGGTCTCAAGCAGGCCCTCTGGCGAGGGCAGCCTCGGGTGGCAGTGGCAGCCTCAGGTGGCCCTCCAGAGTGACTGCGGCCTTGGACGAGGCCTCGAGCAAGGGCTCCTCCACCCCCAGACAATCTCCACTCTCAACTGGAGCAGGTTTCTGAATGGCTTCTTGTTCCATCCTTGCTACACCATTGCTCTCGCCTCGGCGCCCTCCGGCCGACGTGTCTAGGGTGTTTGCCATGGCAGGGCTGTGTCCTGCTGCTTGCGGTGTAGCGCCTGGGGTAGGGTCAAGGTCCCTACAAAGCAGCTCTTGCATTGAATCTCTAACCTCTCGGGTAGAGTTCGCATGGGAACTGTTTTATTGGTGGATGCCGCAGCGGCGGAGATGTGGCGGAGATGTGGGCGGCGGTGAAGGGGGCGCCTCCTCTCGCCCTGTGCTCGTGGGTGTGGCGGCAGCAGTGGCGATCTACAAGGTTGGGTCCAGTTTCTTTGTCGGTGTCATCCTGAGGTTGGGCGTGGGCCCATTCTCCTTGCACCGCGCCATCCCGTGCTCCGCAGTGGCGATCTACAAGGTTGGGTCCCGTCTCTTTATCCGGCCCCGAGAAACCGCTGCTGATGACCATCAAGGGGCAGATCTATGACATCTCACTGCAGTGGTAGCGCTGAGGTAGATGATCAGCGTTGAGTTCTGGTTGGGCATGGACACATATTCAAACATTTGCGTATTCGAACACCCCCGGCTAATAGATAGCTATCTAATGGTTAGCTAGCTCATATTGGCTATGGGCTATCAGCTACCTAGTAACTATTAGCAGCTAATGGATCCAATCAGGCCTAAGTCGTTTTGATCTCTTAATACTTGATTGAGATGCAAAAGACACGCATCAACGAGCAAATAGCATAGGGTCTCACGGTTCTAAAGATTCATCCTCGGATTAGATGTTGCTTCTTAGCAATTTGGCTCATTAATCCTAATTAAACATTGTGTCCATGTTTAAATAGGTATTCATTAATCTCGCATTAGTATGAATCCCAGACAATTAATGTTTCTTTTCACCAAATGAGACCGAGATAGGCAATTAGAAGGAGGCGATTGCAAATCCACAACAAAGCCCCAAAATCCCCAATTTTTCCTTAAATAATCCCGAACAAAGTGCCAAAATCCCCAAATTTTCCTCAATCCCGAAACCTAACCATAAGCATAATCACCTGTAGTCCGGCCGCGCTGGGATACAGGCGTCTGGGGCGTGCACCACCTTGATGGTCATGAGGACAGCCGCCATGCGCACGGCCTGGTCACCTCCCGCGACCGGCGTGACATAAGGGCACGGCACCGGCGCGGGCCTCGCACCCCGGTGGCCAAAAGATGGGCCCCCGGCCGCCGCCGCCTCTACGGACGGGCGCCTGCCTGCGATTCGCCTCGGGGCGCCGCCGCCTTGACCCGCTCGCACGGGCGGCGTGCGCTTTGTCCGCGCCGCCACCTTAAGGCCGATGAGGGCACCCGGCGGCGGTCTCGACGTAGCCGCGCGCGGCTTTGCCGCACGCGCGCGCCGGCGAGACGCGCCACCGTGGTGCCGAAGGGGCCGGGCAGGGGCGCTGCAGGTGGCTGCTGTGGTGCCGGGCAGGCGCACGGGGGAGGGACTGAGCCACTAGAGGGAGTGAGAAGAGGGTGTGAGGGTTTTCAACCGGCGTCGGGTATAAATGGCCATGCAGCCGGTAGCCCGATGGCCCGGCCGAGGCACGGTTTTTTTAGTCTACCAAAAAACACGGCACGGTTTGTTGTTGTGCAGGCCCGGACCAGATCGGCGATGCACAGGGTCGTGCTTGGGCTACACCCTAGGCATGTGGGCCGGTCCGACATGGCCCAACATTTAGAGGTCGGCCTGGTGGCGGCCCGATGGCTGGTGCGGCCTGCTAAACATCCCTACGCCTCACCCTGGGCATTCGGTCAGACCGAACCGATCGGTTCGGTTCCTCGGTCATTCGGTCAGTTCGGTCATCAGAAACCTGGGACCGATCGGTCTTTGCAAAAAACGAAGACCGAGGAAGTTCGGTCTCGGTTAGTTCGGTTCGGTCTCGGTCACGACCGAACTAACTGGACCTGAGTAGCAGCCACAAACAATAGCAGAATCTATAGCAATTTTCAACAGCATGCTTGCTATTTGAAGGCAAAAAAATAACAACACAATATATAAAATAAACCACACATTATTATGACAAGTTCTAGCACACAACTTTCTCAGTTCTCACAAATCACAATCACACATAATGACATTACGAACGAAGTCTACAGAACTACGGTCAGTTCGGTCACTTCGGTTAACCGACACATATGACCGAACTTCTATCGGTTACTTCGGTTAGTTGGGAGCCAGGACCGAACTCATGACCGAACTTTTTGGTCTCGGTCTTTTCGGTCTCGGTCTCGGTCTTTTCGGTTCGGTCTTTGGTCTTCGGTTAATTATGCCCAGAGTTACCTACGCCCCCAGCCTAGCCCTCTGCACGCACCCCCTCCCCCACCCCGCGCGGGCACCGCCCCATAGCCTGCACTTGCTCTCGCTATCTCGCAGACGCCGCACTCACCCCGCTCGCCTCGTCCACGCGCAAGATAAACCAGCGAGCAGCGGCCTCCTCCACGCTATCAGCGGCTCGCTCGGCCTCTTCCTCCGCGCGCGGTGCCCCTGCAGCGGCGGCTGCGGCTTCAAGCGGAGCGGATCCAGCCTCCACCCCTCGGCTCCCGCGAGCGACGAAGAAGAGGGCGAGGAAGCAGAAGCATATGGCCTTCTAGGCGGCGGATCTAGCCTTCTAAAAGATCCTAATGGCTAGAGGGGGTTGAAAGGTCCTAATATGGCTAGAAGGGGGTGAATAACCTGTTTAAAAAATTACAAATCAATTAGAGCAATTTGATTAGTATAACAAATAGCAAAATACAAACTTGCTCTAACTCTACAAGGGTTGCAAGCCACCTATCCAACAATTCTAGTTGCTATGATCACTAAGCACACAATTTGCTATGTCACTACTCACTAAGAGCTCTGACACTTGCTACACTAAAGAGCTCCACTAGATGAACTTAAACTACAAAGCAAGCTCTTAATTCTAGTTACACTAAAGAGCTTGCTACCACTAGTTTGCAAGAATATAAATGAGTGAGTAGGGTGATTATACCGTCATATAGAGAAGTGAACCAATCACAAGATGAATATTAAATCAATCACCGGAAGAATACCAAAGGGCAAGAGACAACCAATTTTTCTTCCTGAGGTTCACGTGCTTGCTGGCACGCTAGTCCCCGTTGTGTCGACCAACACTTGGTGGTTCGACGGCTAAGAGGTGTTGCATGAACCTCGTCCACACAATTGGACACCGCAAGAACCTACCCATAAGTGAGGTAACTCAATGACACGAGCAATCCACTAGAGTTACCTTTTGGCGCTCCATCGGGGAAGGCACAAGACCCCTCACAATCACCACGATCGGAGCCAGAGACAATCACCAACCTCCGCTCGACGATCCTCGCTGCTCCAAGCCATCTAGGTGGTGGCAACCACCAAGAGAAACAAGTGAATCCCGCAGCGAAACACGAATACCAAGTGTCTCTAGATACAATCACTCAAGCAATGCACTTGGATTCTCTCCCAATCTCACAATGATGATGGATCAATGATGGAGATGAGTGTGAGGGCTTTGGCTAAGCTCACAAGGTTGCTATGTCAATGCAAATGACCAAGAGAGTGAGCTTGAGCCGGCCATGGGGCTTAAAAAGAAGCCCCCATAAAATAGAGTCATTGGATCCTCGGTCTACTGAAAATTGGGGCGATCGGACGTGCCGGTCAGATCAACCGCGTCCGGTCACACGATGCGTGCCACATGTCCCCTACTTCAAACGCTGATCGCTCGATCTCAACGGTCATCAATACATTTAAGTTGTGACCGGACGCGCTGCTTCGAAGTGACCGGACGTAGGATCCTAGCGTCCGGTCATTTCCAATAAGGTTCCATTCGTGAAAAATCACGATCGGACTCACCCAGCGTCCGGTCACTCAACGTCTCCTCTGTGTGCTGCCATGTCAGCAGGACCGGACACACCCTATCAGCATTCGGTCATGAAGCGACCCAGCGTTTGGTCGAAGACCGACACCAGCGTCTTCACTGCTTTGTATGGCGAGCTAGGCCACATCCGCTGCGTACTCTAATAAGTGGTATCAGAACTCATGGTCAGAAAACCTGAAAATCTCTAGAGTCACATGGTGACAGGGGAGTCTGTTAACCTCTCGGAGGTCAAGCGGTTGTGTGTGATATAGAGGTCACAAGGGTTTTGTGTGATATGAAGCGTTGGACTCGGGGCCTGGAGAACGTCTTTCGGAGGTCTTCCGGAGATCACACGGGGTTGTGCGATGTGAAACGTTGAATCCGATGTGTGATGGGGGAGATTGTTAGGTTTAGTCCCACATCAATAATTGATGGTCGGGGAGCACAACATATAAGGCGGGGCAGCCCTCACCTATTAGGCTTTTGGGCTGAGTTAGGCCTAAGGTTTTAGTATGTTGTGGGCACTGGTGGACCTGAGCCTGAGGGACGCCGGTGAAAGGTCCTAATGGCTAGAGGGGGGGTGAATAGCCTAATAAAATTTCTACAACAACACTTAACAAAGTGGTTAGACAATTATGAGGCGAAGCGAGTGTTGCGCTAGCCTACTTAAAATGCAAGCCACCTACCACAATTCTAGTTTAGATAGTGTCTATTCACACAATAGCAAAGACACTATCCTATGTTAGTGTGCTCTCAAAGACTAACTAAAGAGCCACACCAATCAAGCAAGCAAGCTCTCACAACTAGCTACACTAAAGAGCTTGTCAACTAGTTTGCGGTAAAGTAAAGAGAGTGAGCAAGAGGGTTATACCGCCGTGTAGATGAATGAACCAATCAATCACGAAGATGAATAACAATGATGACCAATCACCTCGGAATCAAATGATGAACACAATGATTTTTACCGAGGTTCACTTGCTTGCCGGCAAGCTAGTCCTCGTTGTGGCGATTCACTCACTTGGAGGTTCACGCGCTGATTGGTATCACTCGCCAAACCCTCAATAGGGTGCCGCACAACCAACACAAGCTGAGGATCACACAAGCCACAAGCAATTTACTAGAGTACCTTTTGGCGCTCCGCCGGGGAAAGGTCAAGAACCCCTCACAATCACCACGATCGGAGTCGGAGACAATCACCTCCTCCACTCAACGATCCTTGCTGCTCCAAGCCGTCTAGGTGGCGGCAACCACCAAGAGTAACAAGAGAAATCCGCAGCGAAACACAATCACCAAGTGCCTCTAGATGCAATCACTCAAGCAATGCACTTGGATTCACTCCCAATCTCACTATGATGATGAATCAATGATGTAGATGAGTGGGAGGGCTTTGGCTAAGCTCACAAGTATGCTATGTCAATAGAAATGGCCAAGAGTCACAGCTTGAGCCGGCCATGGGGCTATATATAGAGCCCCAATCAAATAGAGCCGTTGTACCCCTTCACTGGGCAAAACGCGTTCTGACCGGACGCTCCGGTCAGACTGACCGGACGCTGGCTCTCAGCGTCCGGTCGCTCGATGTCAGCCACGTGTC